TAGCCCCCTTCCTGTGCAACGCTACACATGCTGGACTGCAGAACCGTAGTTCGTTATATTCGAATCCTGAACCCGCATACGCAACGCCACACTGAATATATATAATTATGTTCAGGGAAAAAAATGAAAGTAGAAGACGGTGGTATAATTACAGTTGATTTAAGAGCATGAGATTAAAGTGGTATGCAAAGTATTCATTCAGCTTGATTTAACAACACCGATAGACGGACTACGATTTGAAAGCATTGTTTAAAAAAAGGGCAATAAAGAATATAAAGATTTCAAATACAACCACACATCAAAACTCCCAAGATAGAAGTAGATGTGATAAGTAGTTGCAAAAGAAAAACAACAACACAAACAACAAACCTGCAGACATCTTGTACCACCACTGATTTTAGCTAGCCTCGCTTCGGCTGCAGCTGCACGTTTTTCCCTATCGGACATCGCTAAGAATGCTGCACGAGCTGCCTGAAGCGCAATAAGAATAAAGAATGACCTTTGTTACGACGAATTGATCTCAATCAATGTTGCAAATTATAAAGCACAACATACAAGTTCCTCAGCTTCTTTCTTCTCCGCTTCCTTCTTCATTCTAGTTTTTTCTTTTTGCCTCTGCTTCTTTTCCTTCTTCTTTTCAGCAAGTTTCACAGCTTGTTCCTCACTCAATTGGATAGGCTCAGGTATGTGACACCTAGTAATTCTTACATATATGTCGAAAAAAGTAGTTCCATAACAATGAATACATTCAAATAATAACAAGAGGACGAGTTAGATGAAGAAGTGCAACACACCGCGTCCAATCCCATTTATGCGGATTTTCACTCCGGAATTGGATGAATACGTTCTTCATTGCCTTATTCGGCGAAAGTGCATAAGCAACTACATCTTCTTCATTCTTTATGGAAGGATCACAGCCAATTTCCATGAGGTACTAAAGTAAGACATTTTGATTGCATGAGTCACTGATACACAATAGTAAGGCTCGCTGTGTATCAAAGCCAGAGTTTTTTACAGTTTGCAAGATTTGCGATACAAAAGCGAGACTTAATACAATGTTGATCAGATGAAAACATGTCCTCTCAAATCCTTTGATCCGTAACATCTTTTGCGGTTGAATTTACTTTTTCAATAAAAGGCATAACCCACAGGTACAATCTTATCGCAATTATTCTTAGCAGCCATATGAAGAAATGTTCCGTTGTCTGATAAACGAAAAGAAGAGAGATAGTTGATGATCTGAAAAACTGTTACATCTAAAAGATATGTGACATTCAACTGCAACTCCGAAAGGCCGACACACCTCCCTTCTCTCCATCTCATTACGATCATCCACCAGTGCACTAAGGGCTTCCTCGTTGTTGTCCTTTATCATAGCGTACAATTCTCTCCTAGTATTTTTGTCTATATTCGGCCAGCTATCTTCTTCCTTTACCTTAACTTCAATTGGAGGCATAGGCCTCAGGTGATCAGTCTGAAATAGTTGCATCCTTTTCAAAAAAAAAAA